TTTTAAAAGCCATCATTGAATAAAAGGCACCCAATCCTAAGTTAGATGATTTGGTGAATGAATTGCATGGGTCAATAAATTTTAAATGGTGATGCCTCTTTGGCTCTTCCCTTTTGCCCTAAGCACCTTCATTCAACAAATTATGTACTTAAGGATTGCATAGTTAAGTTTTAATATTTTACTCCCCTAATTGTGGTTTCACTTCTTTTGAAGGATCAATGGAATGGAAGAACTTGAAGATTTGTGGTCAAATCCTTCTCAAGAAGGAGGGTATGATGGAGGACCATCCATGGTACTTCATGTGAAACCCATCACATGGTCCAATGCTATGACTAATTTTGAGTAGTGTAGGATTTATTTGGTTTATTCCAATTTTACCCTTGTATTTTGGGGTATTTTAGTCATAGGATTTATTTTCTTTGTATTTCCTATTTTACCCTTGTATTATGGGGTGCTTTAGATCCATCACTATTTTATGAGTTAGATGCTTGTGGACACATTTTCCTTGTGATTATATACTTTATTGCTTAAAGAATTCTATTATTACTTATTTATTGTTAAAATTTACCCTCATTCAATTTTTTTATTTTTTGATTTATGGTAAACTGGCAGATTTAACTTCTTGTTGAATCAGAATATATTATACTCATAAACTTGACTTCAATTGAACAGGTGAAGAATTCCCGTGACAAATCCATTGTTGGAATTACAAACTACATTGATTTTGGGTTTGAGTTACAAACAAGGTATTCTTTTTTACTCAGATATTCAAACTTATTGCAGTTGCAACAATGTGGTATAATCTAATATTCAATGTGTCAGTGTGGATGAAGCCATAGCAGGAAACAATATCTCAGACTCAAACTTTCAATTAGGCGCGTCCTGGCAGGCCAATGAAAACTTCTTGCTGAAGGTAGAGAATTGATGAATGTTATGCAGATTTATATAAATTATATATGGTGCATCATAGTAGATTATTTCTCATCTTCTCGGGCAAAGGTTGGATCTCGGAGCTCATCCATGGCATTTGCTTTCAAGTCATGGTGGAAACCTTGTTTCACTTTCACTATTTCAGGTGTCTGAGGGTTTTTTTTTTCAGTCTTGCTTCTTCTTTGTTCTTTTCTTTAGTGGGATTCGAACTTTGTTGTTCCTTTTGCATGTTTTAGAATATAATGCATTTTTAAAATGCAACTTCGTTCCTCCCGGTAATAATATATTAGCTCTTCCGGAGCCTTCAGTTATATTTGTAGTATCATATAACATTAAATTCTCGCATTATTGAATATGAGAAGACAAAAATTAATACATTAGAACATTCACTTCAGGGAATGAAATAATGCTAGTTAAAATGGTCTCTTGCATAAAAAATCTCAATATTTTATTTTAGTCTTCAAGAGACAATAAACTAACTAAGGATATTTCTTAATCCTTTATTTATATATATATAAAAAAATATTGCTACTTCTGGAGCAAAATAAATGTATGAACAGTGTGGATGAAGCCATAGCAGGAAACAATATCTCAGACTCAAACTTTCAATTAGGCGCGTCCTGGCAGGCCAATGAAAACTTCTTGCTGAAGGTAGAGAATTGATGAATGTTATGCAGATTTATATAAATTATATATGGTGCATCATAGTAGATTATTTCTCATCTTCTCGGGCAAAGGTTGGATCTCGGAGCTCATCCATGGCATTTGCTTTCAAGTCATGGTGGAAACCTTGTTTCACTTTCACTATTTCAGGTGTCTGAGGGTTTTTTTTTTCAGTCTTGCTTCTTCTTTGTTCTTTTCTTTAGTGGGATTCGAACTTTGTTGTTCCTTTTGCATGTATGTATTAGGAGACCAACACCTATATAGTCATAATATAATAATCAATGGTTACTTAACTTGAGGCTCTGATTTTTTTTTATTTTTTTATATTTTTTTATTGGGGGCTGGGGGAGGAAGCTGACTTCCTCCAGTTTGAATGTTTAAAATATTCCCCATACATTTTACCTATATTCTTAATAGAATATATATTTTCTCTCCTTTTGTATGCTCATTCTGTTTTTTATTCTGGTCACTCAAAGTTCTTGACCTAATTCTGCTTCTGACCATGATTATGTATCAACTATGAAGCACGGATACTTCAATTTGTTTCACGTATCCGTATCCGATACGTATCCGAC